AAAGATTTAGATTTCTCTTTCCCTTTCTTTTTTGTACATGATAGAAAATTAGCAACCCTCTTCTATGTTTACTAAAACATCAATTTTTTATCATATTTTTTTATTAATTATCAACCTGAAAATATATTAAATAATAATTATAAAGCAATTATTTGTTAATATTCATTATTTTTTTAACAAATATAAGTGAAAACATTTGTTAGACAATATGTAGCATGATTTTGATCTTAATAAGTAGTAACATATTTCAAAACATTGCTCCTTCATTACTGTAGTTTTTTATTTTTCTTTATTATAGTTTTAAAATGTTGAGTTATTATGTTATTTATAAGTATTTTAATATTAAGTAAACTCTTATGAGTTTACAATTCGAGTTTTCCTATCTAATTTACGAAACTTCCATGAGTTTACGTAAACTCTCGAGTTAAACAACCTTGGTTGTTGGGCCTATCGTGCCACTTGTTATCAAATCTCCCGCACATGTCTAGTCCTACAAACTTTATGCTCAACACGTTTAATCGTTGGCATGAAGAAGGTGTGTTAGAAATCTCATATCAACTAATGAAATGATCATAATAGTCCATATTAGTGAAAAGAAATCCTCATCTTATAAGCCGGTTTTGTAAGATAGAGTTAAGCTCCAATCCACTTTCTTAGTCGTCCCTCATGTACCATCCTTCACAATCCAATGGTTGTATCACCTCTAATCTGTTTCGGCAGGTTTGGAATCTCATTTGTTCTGCTTCAAGACCTCTTTATGTTAATCTCTTCTCTTTTTCGTGTACCTTGGCATTCACAATCCTATGTTATTGATATGTTAATTTTGTCTAATGGTTAATGTGTACCTAGATTATGTTACTGTGGCTTTTGATTATTAATGATGAATGACCCACAATTTTGAATTTTTATCAATTTATTTTCGAGCAGTTGTATCATGCAATATATATTACTTTTGTATATATATAAAATTTGTCAGTGGTCATCCTTTATCTACTGTTCCACTAGTCTTTTTAGGCCACTACCTGGGATTGACAACTATGTCATACCCATACCTCGTTAATATAAACATGTCATAATAAATAAATAAATAAGAGAGAGAGAAATGGAGAAGTTAATGAATTCACAAGCCTTGTACATATACCTCATAAGTTTTCCCAGCTGGAACACCTATCTCTTTGTAGTCATCATTTTTGCTGAAATGAACATATAGAAAGTGTTTACTGAATGTTGGGTGTTATACCCACGCACGCACTCTTTCTTTATAATCACACAATAGATACAAGAGAATCAATCATGGATACAAAGAATCAATCTAAATCCCTAATTTCCTATATTTCCATGCTTGCATATAAAAAATGTCCTTATTTTAAATACTCTCAACAGAACAAACTTGAAAATAGAGGAAATCATACAATAAAGCAAGATTTGTATTTACCTTGCTTCCAATGCACCTGCAACCTCTGCTGAAATGAAGAAAGGTGCATTTGCAAAGACCTCACTGATAAAAAAACAAGCAGGTTAGTCAAGAAGAATTAAAAATCTAGCAGAAGGGAGAACAAAAACAGATCTCATATTAGAAACTCTGCACAACCAGTTCAACCTAAAAGCTTAGGTTGATAGCAGGAAGCAGTTTCAAAGCAAAATATAGAGAAATGGGACACGTGAACATATATGGCTTAGCCAGTTGCTCAGAGAGTTGACCATGATAGGAAAGTTATGTGATGTTTTTAGGCAGTTTATTTAAGAAGTCAGGGATATCTATCATCAATGGTTGTGTAGTTTTTTGTCTTTGGACATATTGGGAAAATGGGTCACCTAGTGTCAGTTTTGTAAGGTTGAGTTAGACTCATACACCACAATCTAATATGGTATCAAAGCCTATAGTAACAATTACGAGTGTTGTTAGGCTTACATGCCTTTTGGACCACTTATAGATGTCCAGTCCTATAAACTTCACATTTAAGATGTCCAGTTCTCAGTGTGAGGGGTATCTGTTGAAGATCACACATTGACTGGTGATAAGACTAACAAAGTGTATATAAGTGAGAAACAATCATCACCTTATAAGTCGGTTTTGTAAGGTTGACTTAGACTCATAACACACTATTTTAAGATGATATCAGATTTACCATAGATTCACTCTTAAAAAGGGTTACCCACCATTAATACACACACCAAGCCTAATAGTGTTGGGTGTAAGAGGATGTATTGGAGAAAACCCAAGTCTCTCCTATCCTAAATCATTAAAAAGGGTCACCTAAAGCCTAATTTTGTGATGTTCTCATAGTAGTCAATAGCGGCCGGAGCGGCCGCTATCGCGGCGCTCCGGAGCGGAGCGGCCTCACCCCGCAATCTGGCTGCTGGAGCGGAGCGGATTTGTGTAGCGGCTGGAGCGGCCGCGTCGGAGGCGGAGCGGAGCGGCCCAAATCGCGGAATCACGGCGCGATTTCAGACTTACCCTTCATTAAGGGTAAGTCGGTCTTTTCAATGGTTTTTTTTTGCCCTAATCCTCCCTTTCCCTCTCGCGCTTTCAGACTCATCCAAACCAAACCCCTCCTTTCGTCTCTCCCTTTCTTCTTCTCTGGCTATCGTGCGTGCAGCGTGCAGCTCTGCCGAACGCCGGCCCCGACGCACCTCCATCGCCGACGCGCCTCCAGCTCCGACGCACCTCCGACTCCGACGCGGCTCCAGGTCTGACGCAGCTCCGACGTGGCCGCAAGCTCCGACGCGTGTTTGTCTTCTATTCTCCTTCTATTCCCCTTCGAGGATGCCTTTTATGCAACATGCAACATATTTTTTTTTTAATTATTTATTAAATTATTTCAACTGATTTTTTTTTAATTTCTGATTTAATTTAATTGAACAAATTTTATTTTTAAATTCTGATTAAATTTAATTCAACAAATTTTATTTTTAAATTCTGATTAAATTTAATTCAGCAAATTTAATTTTTAATTTCTAATTAAATTTAATTCAGAAAAATTTATTTTTAATTTCTGATTAAATTTAATTCAGAAAATTTTATTTTTAATTTCTGATTAAATTTAATTCAGCAAATTTTATTTTTAATTTCTGATTAAATTTAATTCAGAAAATTTTATTTTTAATTTCAGAAAATTCTATTTCTATTTCAGCAGCATATTTTTTTTAATTTCTGATTCTATATATATATATTTTACTTACTTAGAGCTTTAACACTTTGTTTTGGAGACATTTTATATTATGTATTGTTTGAGTACTATGAACTTTTAATTATTAAAAATGTTTAATGCATGAATTTAGAGTTATTTTTTTGTTTTTTTAGCTTTTATATATATATTATTAATTATTTAATATATATAAATTAATATTTAAATAGCGGTTATCCCGCTCCGCGTCATCCCGCTATCCCAGTTTTAGGGTCGGTCGCTCCGCGCCGCTATCCGGGATTGACTACTATGGATGTTCTATATGTATAACATGGCAGTTTCAGTATTCAGTGGTTTATTAGTATTGTGTATTTGAGAGAGAAAAACTTTAGTTGAAACGAACATTCCAACAAAGTTGCAAGGAATGATAAGCAACTATCAACCTTTGCAGATATTGTGCACCAGAACAGTGAATGAATTTGGTACTGAAACTCCTTAGGTGTTGGTGCATTCGCAAGGTAAGCTTCTAGAAGAAGCTAATTGGGAAGCCATTAGCAATCAGTTTCCAGATTTCAACCTTGAGGATAAGGTTGTTTCTGAGGGAGGGAGTATTAGGAATTGTTGGAAATAGGAAGATTTTGGGAGATAATAACTCCTTTAATGTTTATTTTTCCAAGGTGCCTAGATACGTGGTATAGCTACAATCAATGCATCATAGGAAGTAGTGGTATCTTAATTGTTCTCTTGTAAATTATTTTGGCATTAATTATCTTTGTGATTCTCTTGTATATAAATGAACTCATTCTGCTGGGTGGTATTATCACTTAAGCATATTCTGAAACTGAGATCTTTGTTTCTTTCTTTTAATAGGAATGATTTCAGGGAGCATCCGAAAGGGGGAAAACCTCTACAGGTTTATTATAGAAAGAGGAAAGGGTCAAACTGATAGTTGACAGGGTCATATTGTAACTTTAGTTTGGGAAGCTGAGTTAGTTAAATCAGTTTTGATAGTTTCTTTTCAATTTGATGTAAATCCTACAAATAAGCTCATTGTTTTGAGGAGGCAGTTTTTTATAATCCTTTTGGGGGTATACTAGCATACCTTGGTTCTTGTGTGAATTTTGTTCATAATCAATAAAGAGGCAATTCAATTTTCTTTCTTATTGTGAGTGTGTGCTGATTTTGGTTACGATTCTGTGTTTTTTTCCTATCACAAGAAGAGATTCCTAACAATGTTTTACTCCATTTATGGGGTGATGCTACCATTACTATTTGTTATTTTGATCAACTGTGTGCCCTCTGCTATGCTAGATAACCAAGTACCTCACTCCTTGTTATTACCATAGCAACAATTGAACTCTACCACTAAGCACGTTCAACTGCACATGTTTTGTTCTTGATCTTACCCCTAGCAAATACAAGCAAAGTCTATTTCTTGGTTACTCCAGGTTGTAGAAAGGTATTGATGTTATTCTCATGATCTAAAGCATTATTTTGTCTCTACTAACGTCACTTTCTTCGAGACACAACCCTTCTATCCTTGCATTGATTCTATTTCTATTAACTCTTTCCTTCAAGGGATCTCTTTGTCAACATTGATTGCTCATAAACCTATCATTATTCCTTCATTCCTCCCTTATTAGCGGCAAACTCATTCTCCACATGTTGATCCACTTGTGATCCCCTATTCTCATTACCTGCTCTGTTGGCCTCTTCAAACTCATCTTGTGACTCAAAACTTCCCATTGTCTTACACAAAAGTGTCAAGTCCTCTAGTAACCATAATCCCATCTATACTTGCACTTTTTCATTTCATTGATTATGTCCTACTTAGTCTAGCTTAGTTTGCTTTGTGGATTTTGTGTATATTCCTGAGACAACAAGGGAAGCTTTAACTCATCCAAGAAGCCATCATCCTATGTTCGATGAGAAGGCTACCATGCACTCTAGTGCATCAATGACACTTGGAATCTTGTTCCTTAACCTTCAAGTAAAAACCACTATTGATTGTCAAATGGGCTTATAGCCTTAAGATTGGACTTGAAAAGGCGCATTTGATGGCTAAAGGCTACACTTATTTTTTCTTTTCCTATGTTACAAAGACACATTTTCTCTTGCGGCCAAAATCACATCCATATGGCTCTTCCTTGCCCTTGCTACTATCCATCACTGATCACTTCACTAGTTAGATATCAAAAATACTTTCTACACAATAAACTGCAAAAACTCTACATGGATCAAACTCTTGGATTCATCGCCAAGGATGCTCGTTAGTTTTTAAGATACTTTCATTATACCATTTATGACTTGAAGCAATCCCCTCATGCTTATTAGATATGATTCAATTCATCTTTACAACAGTTTGGCAAGATTAGTGTTGTAGTTTAGAGGAAGATAATTTTATCTCATGATGATTCAAATTTACAATGATCGAGATTTATAGATAGAGTTGGTTAGATATTTTCTACCAATCTTATTACAATTCAATTTAAAAATTATATATATATAATGAGAGAGAGAGAGAGAGAGAGCGAGAGAGAGAGAGAGGAAAGATAAAATAGAAAAGATAAGGAGAAGATTAGTAAAATAAACTGATTTCATCTAATCCTAAAGGTTCTAGAATTTATTTATTCTAAAATATCCTAACAACATCAACACCTTCCTTCAAGTTAGTGCATAGATATCCAACATGTCTAATGAACAACATAAAAACATATTGACTTAAGTCTTTACAAAGTCCTACAATAACTTACATAACAAGTTGGATGCATCTAACATATATGCTCCAACTTGAAGGGGAGTGATGATTGTAATCAAATATTCAGTTTCCTTATTAATAGGATAATTGATTTGATCCCAAAATTGTAGGATCATGATAAGATTATTTTATCTTTAAAATAGCATTAATATATATATATATATATAGGATCTAACTCCCCTAAAGTGAGGAAATTACACTTTAGAGAATAAAGTGCAATTATAGCAATTGATTAAAAAATCAATGGTTTGATATTATAAATTAGGTTTTATTTTGCAAGAGTTTGATTTTATCATAAATCTTAATCATTGATTTTATAATTGAAGGGTAAATAAAATACTCTTTTTGTACAATACCACGAGTATCCTATGCGGAATACAATCACATTTGAGTAGAGTAGGGTTAAAAGGGAAACAAAGATCTACTTTCAAGAGTATTTAAAAACAGTTGTATTCCCAGAACTACTAGTTAAGCTTAAACAACCTTGTACTTGTTGATCTACACACTAGGTAGTAAGGTAAATAAAATACTACCAATATATATACACGTATAATGCCTTGCTCTAGCTGTTGATGTTCCACCTAAGATTTTGTGAATAGAATTTATATGATAGAAACTTTTAATCCAACAAAGGGTTATTAAAAAGTCACTGAATGGTGTAAGAGTAATCTGTGTGTGAAATTCCAAAATAAAAATTTTTTGGAACACCTAACTGGCTGTAATTGAAAAGCTACTGTCTCAAAATATCAATGAATAAATAATGATAAGCTGTAGATAATTTCCATGAATTCTATATGAAAACTAATGTTGTGTAATAAAAGATCATGATTTCAAGTAGACAACAATTTAACAAGATTATTAACGATTAATACACAGAAATTAAAGCATGAGAAACATTGAGAAGATCATGAGCGTACCTGATAAATGTCAAAAACCTTTTCAACTCCATGGTATAGATATCAACAGCTTGTTCCAAGATAACGATTTGTTCCCTTTTTCTATCAAATTATACCCATACAGAGAAGATGGAGTATTACAAAAGTGCTTCACATTGTAAAAGAATACAAAAGCACCAAATCTTCTACGGAGGAAATTAAAAAGCCTCTCTAAAGAAAGCAAAATGTCCAGTTCTGTATCATGATAAAAATAATCTTCAAAAGTAGATGAGTTATAAAAAAGTCATTGAACTAAAACACCAAATAAGAGAAAACAAGCCATTATACACCACACAATTCAGGTTACATAATGACTGGTGCTTGTGACATTGAACAAATTAATTATATTAGGAAGATTTTAACTTTATCACATCCCTAATAATTGCAAAAATACAAGCCAGATGCTCATGGCTAAAGCCAGCAAGTAGCAAACCCCATGATGTCTGAACTTGTAGCAGACATATCTCTATTATAGAAAAGATGATCATCAGCATAGAAGTTCAAAGTTCTACTTTTCAATAGCCAATTGATTTTTATCAAATTTACTTGCTATCAAATAAAACTCAGATTGGAAAAATCATAAAATTTTATGATTCAGCAGTCATATCCAAACCTAAGATAGAAGAGGATCCTAGTGAATCATGTCCTATCCCAAGACAGACTTTACATAATTGTTGGTCCTCAATATTCATAGAAATAAGAGTTATTTAACAAAATCAACCATAAAACCCAACAGTTAAAGTACCAAAGATGCAAGGTATCTCACAACTTCTTAGCATCATATCGTGTCCATGATAATGAAAGGAAGAGTCGGATAGAAAGAATCATTGAGGTGAGGCTGTACAAGGGTGGTCCATAGCGATGACGCTGTTCCTCCATGGGCCTACCAGTAGATAAGAGTTCTCATATGAATGTTATTCATATGTTATTATTATCATCATATGCAGATATGAAGAAAGAAAATTTGAAAATTCAAAAACAATAATTTTGTACCCATCGTCATCATTTATCTGCCGAGTAAAATCAAGTAAAACCTACAACTCACAGAAAAAATGTCTTAGAATATGAGTAATGATAATCAGTACTAATCCAACTACATAGAATTTAGTTCAAAATACAAACAAATTGATCAGAAAAATAAAGATGATATCAGTCACAAATCAAGATGATCAGAAAAACCTGAAAGATGGAGCTAGACCCTGTTGAAAATTAGAATATTTTAGGAAATAAGACTTCTTTAATATTCATTCTTCCAAGTTGCCTAGATACTTTGTTATGAACAATGTTATAATCTCTTGAATTCGAAGACAAGGAACCTCCTAAAAGGAAAAGTAGAAAATAAATACTGAAAATGCTTCTCTGCCCTTTTATTCATTCATTTCAATGATTATATAGAAGAGATTCCAATACATTTATTGGCTCTCCGCAACGTACAGGAAGGAAAAAACAGAATTGGTAATACCAAATGAAAATGACGGCTGCAACGATATCTAAATAACAAACTCTGAATCTAATATTCTAGGAATTAGATTTTCTATTATCTTCCAATTCAGTCCCTAGAACACACAGGCTTGGAAACATTCCTTTTAGGCCTGCTGACTTTGGCCCCAATACTGCTTGGTCCTTCCTGAAAGATGGGCTAACTATCATACATGGTATAGTCAGGTTCAATGCATCATAGGAAGTAGTGATATCTTAATTCTTAACTGTTCTATTGTAATTTGCGTTGGCATTAATTAATTGATAGACGGTCATTGCTGGATATTTGATAAGCCTTCAAGCCCAATAGCTGCGGAGACAAGTGAAATGCCGAAAAGGGTGATCAAGAAACCCAATTGGTTAAAAGATTTTTCAGAAAATTTGCATTTTCCAGGCTGTACTAGCCAGTAACTAGCCGTTTTCTTCTTACGTTCAGCTTGTATTTAAGAAGAGGGTTTTACTCATTTGAATTCAATGAAAGATGTTCCTTTAGTTTTATTATTAATTAATTTTGGATAGGATATATCTGAGTACCTATCAATATTGTACCTTCCTTAGAGGAAATTTAGTAACTTGTAGGGCTACAAAACACAATGTTGTGGTCGATCTATCGCTGAAATTGAGTTTCGAGCTATGGCACAAGGAATTTGTGAGCTACTTCAGTGGAAATTTTATTTTTTATGAAAGACTCGAAGATTAAATGGGATGGGCCAATGAATCCCTATTGTGATAATAAATCAGCTATCAGCATAGCTCATAATCCTAATCAACATGAGCGAACAAAGCATGTAGAAGTTGTCACACACTATCGAGGAATAGCTCAATTGCAGCTCGATTTGTATCTATATGAACCTTCACAAAATCAATTGCGTATATTCTTTCCAGAGGGTTACGCAGTTCAGATTTTGAAAGAAATGTATGTTTTAGGTTTGTTGAATTGTGTGTTCAACTCACACATACAATGCTTTATTTATAATAAATAAGAATACAATTTAGGAAACAAATAACGGATGTAATCCCTACTTTTCAGCTATACAATGTTGACAACTTGACATATTTCCCTACTTAAAGATAAAATCATATCTTTAACACTCCCCAATACTGACATATTTCCCTATTTAAATAAAGAAAAAAATCAAATCTTTAACACTATGCAAGCTGGGAAAGGAAAAACATCAATTCTCCAGCTTCAGGGGGAGTATTAGAAATAGGAGTATTTTAGGAAATAAGAACTCCTTTAATATTCATTTTTCCAAGTTCCCTAGATACTTGATATAGCTAGGTTCAATGCATCATAGGAAGTAGTGGTATCTTAATTGTTCTCTTGTAATTTGTGTTGGCATTAATTATCTTTGTAATACTCTTGAATATTACATATATATATATATATATATATATTATTCATTCTGCTGGGTGGAATGATTACAAAAGCATATACAGAAAATATTTGTTTTTCTCTTTTAACAGCCCCATTATTTGAAAAAATTGAAATAAAATGTATACTATAAAACAAGTTGCATAAGCTGATTTAGTTATTTAAATAAAAAGAATAAGAGAATAGATGCAAAACAGGAAAAGCATAATAGGCCTGCAAAGTCATGTGTTTACAATTTGAGATAGCCATACCTGAGGAACCCCAACAAGGTACTTCACAAGTGTTTTATAGACTCCTGTTGCAGAACCAAGTTGGGCTAATTGCCTTCTCCTGTGATCAGTAAATTGTTTAATATATTTCTCTTATTAATCCATGCATAACCAACCAGACAAGAGTCGAGCCTCACCTGTCCATTTGTTGTTTCCACAACAAAGCATATCTGTCCCGTATGCTACCTCCAGAATTTATCAAAGTGTCAACTTCTGCTTGTTTATTCCTCTCTGAGCGTTCCCGTTGTTGTCTAAGTAGAGTTCCTCGAAAATCTTGAGGCAAATATGTCATAACTGCATAAAATTTTTGATGAGTTAGAAAAGAAAGATGTTAGAATATATGAAAAATATACAATAGTATCTCGATTATATTTTAGAATATTTCAATATTAGTTTCCATAATATCACCTAGGTTTGGTTCACATATTTCCTTATCATCTCATGACTAGTTTGCTTTCATAGTTTGGATTATGATCAGATGTTAGTATAGGTTAATGATTTACGTTTTCAAAATTGGGGGTCTAATAGTATCACAACCCCCCCCCCCCCACCCCCCCCCAA